CATTCAATTTAATATTTGAATTGTCAAATTTCTCTCTATAAAACGAATAAATTTACATAATGATAAATCAAATTGAATATCATGGTAAGATTATTACTTAAGATATTTTAACCATTATCTACATATACAGGTATCCCACAGAGATCTGACATTCTGACAAATGAAATAACTTTTGTTATAATCAATATTTTTAAAAAATTTCTTTTAAATATAATTCATAGACACTTGCGCTACATTTTTTATTTTTTAATACTGATATAAAACAAACTTAAAAATTGATAAAAAATTTTTCGAAATATTCAATAGAGCCAATTTTTTAAATCTGATTTTTAGAAAAATGTATATGGTAAAAACACTTATTTAAGTCAAATAGCTGATTTTTACAATTTTTTTAAATATCAATATTTTCGTTAAGTAAATTACGATCTAGTTCATGSTAGAAACCTTGTAATTTCAAATAATAATAAAGTTTTTTAAAAATATTTTATAAGAACATTTTWAAATAAGTGCATGTTAAAATCTAATTATTTTTTTTATTTTAATAATATGTGATTTATAAGCTATAAATTACTATAATTTACCTGACGAAAATATTGATATTTAAAAATTTTTTAAAAATCAGCCTTTTGACTTAAATAACAGTTTTTACCACATAAATTTTTCTGAAAATCAAATTTACAAATTGGCTATATTGAATATTTCGAAAAAAAGTACCAATTTTTATGTTTTTTATTTTCAGTATTAAAAAATGAAAAATGTATTCTAAAAATGTAGCGCAAATGTCTATGGATTATATTTAAAAGAAATTTTTAAAAAATATTGATTAGAACAAAAGTTATTTAATTTGTCAAAATGTCAGAACTCTGTGGGACACTCTGTATATATAAATATAATGCTAGCATAACCACAGGAAATAAATTTAACACGCAGTTTGAGACATATTATAATAAGAAGGATTTTTAAGGGGCTACGAAGCGCATCACGGGTTCAGCTTGTAATATAATATATATATATATTTTTTTTTGATATGCAACCATGGCAATGTAGACATAACAAAAAAATATTTAGTCTCGTGTATCCAGCCCAAAAACGTATTTATATTTAAATCAAGGATAACTTTACTTAATATGATCATTGATCATAAGGTTATATAAAATAAATAGATGAATTAGTTTGGTAGATATCCTATACATTATTTATTACATTTTTAATATTCTTTTTTTTTTTTAAATTAGAGATTATAATTCTTGTTTAGTATTTTTTGGTAATATTTATATTACATGATAGCATTTTGTTATCCAACTACCTACATACTTATTAAGGGTGATTTATGACAATTATAAAGCACTTTAAATTTGTTTAGTTATGAAATATTATTAATAGATTCTTCTATGTTAATATTTGTATAGTATATTTTCATTAATTAATGTCAGTGAAGAAAATCAACTTACTATTTTACTAAATTAATAAAAATAAATATATTTTTAYTTGATTTTTTAAATTCTAGGTTCAGTATTACTTTCAACTTGCTCAACAACAACAGCAGCAACAACAACAACAACAACAACAAACCAATAACGCATCAGGGTCAAGTGCTGGACAGACAATACAAATCTTACAACCAGTGAATAACCAAGTTGTATCTTTAGGAAATGGTACTCAAGATCAAGTAAATATAGAAAATGTATGTTGTATTATATTTATTATTAAATTAAAGGGTTGTATTGTTAAAATAAGCTTAGGTTAATAAATCAAGTTAATTTAATATTCCTTTAAAAAATATGTTTGATTTCAGAAAAATTTTGTTCTTACAGTTTTATTTTGCATATTTGAGTATACTTGACAAAAAAGAACATACGGGGTGATTTTGTTATCACACTTTATTTAAATTTTTAAAAACACTTGTATACCTTATTCAATGTAAAATAATTACCGAAATTTAATTTATATGGTTATTTAAAATAAAAGTCTAGGAGAAGGGGGATATAACCTTAGGTTTTTGAATACTAGAATTCCTCAGTCATAGTAGTATTGTATACACAATATCTATATTGTATTTTAATGGAATAGTATATTTTTTAATTTTTATTTCTTTTTTTTACTAGATTCCAAACAATACATCAAATATTACAAGTACCTCGACCACTGTAACAGGTAGTCAGCCACAAGTTATACAGTTACAGGGCAATACTCAGGCACTAAATTCAAATTCAAATGGTGTACTTCAACTAGTACAACAGGTTATTACTCCAACTGGAGAAATACAACATATACCTGTAAGTATTAATAATCATTATCTTCACAAAAGTATATATTTTAAAGTAATACTGAACATGGACACAATATAATTCTTATGAGTAAAAAAATAATTTAAACTTTTAAAACAATTTTAAGTATCCCGAGACTTGTGGAGGAAGTATTGAAAAATTAGACTTAGCCCAATATTAAACAGTTTTCCTCTTTTGTGTGTACTTAACTTACTTCAAAATATGTTTAATCAATACAGCTCACTATTTTTACTCCTTGTAGTATTATCATGTTCAACAACTTGTCATTTATAGGAAAGAAAAAAAAATGATCATTTTTTATATGTCAAGTGGTTAAATTAATATAGCTATATAAATAAATATGTAGTATACATTCTAACATGGCTGGGATATTTGTATCATGATAAATATTTATTATTTTAAACCCCTATATATGGCTGTATTTTCCAGTGTTATTATACAAAATCAATGCTATTATATGTTTTGCAAGTAACTCCAATTAATATAGTAGATTAATATTAACTTTTAAAAATTTATAATCATTTGAATTTTTTTCTGCGCTTATAAAAAAAGTATGGTTGATCATAAAGCTTGAATAATTAGAATGAGTCCTTAAAAGTTTAAACTATAATAGTATGTAATAATTTTAAAACTTCAAACGCACCCATTTTTAATACACGTTTGTCATTCAGTTTTTATATGTTGACAGAATTCTTCAGTCACTTAATTTTGCAAATCAATTTGTAGTTTAACTGTATAATATTTTCAATTTTATTATCTGTGAATTAAAAGTAAAATAAAAAATTCTTCATAAAATTTTCTTACAATCACTTCAAATTTTAAATATTGCATGAATTATACATCATTTAGTTACTGAGCAATACTTAAAAATTTTTTTTTTCTTTCTGCCATGACATTTTGGGAAGTAAAAATGCTTTGATTTTCTACTTCAGCACCTTTTCTGATGAGAAAGTGAATCTAGTTGGTATTTAGGGATCCAAAGTAAAAAATGAAAATATCTCCAATCAATTTTTAAGAGTGTCTGGAAAAACACAACAACACAAGTTTACCTTAAAATTCCTGTTTTATAATTTAATTTTCATTTAATTCATGTAAAATAGTTGAATTGAATAACATTTTTGATGTGATTTGATTTTTTTAAATATACACTAATTTATTGACTTTAAAATAAGGCTATAGTATGTACTATTATTTATTATGTTAAGAGGAAGACACACCTACCTGTGTGTGTTGTCTCCGTCTTACATACATACTACATACTGTTAACTTCTCACAGGGAAATAACGTCAAAAATCTAGCCTCCGGACCGAGAATCGAATCGCTCGCCCCGGGTGATTGCTCTACCACTAAGCTACTTGACCCGCATAGACCCATGACACTATATCCCCAAGTTAACGAATGTTTACATTCGACCATCCTAGGTCCTCCGATCTCCCTCGATCGACGCTGGTCCCTCGTCGTCGTCGCCCACCGCAACTGTTGCTTTACCACCTGATCACCAGAGTGCACGACCCATTAACACAATGCTATTGCTTCCGCACAACCTCTGGTGAACAAGTCCAGGTCCCTCATAACACACGTCACACTGCGTCCTTCAGATCAAATCCCACTTCTGATGTATGTTAACTTCTCTTGGGGAAATAACGTTAAAAATCTAGCCGCCGGACCGAGAATCTAATTCGGATCTCTCGCTTGCCGGGCGATTGCTCTACCACTAAGCTACCCAATCCGCATAGACTCATGAGTCATGACGCTATATCCCCAAGTTAACGGATGTTTACATTACCAAATCTTTGTTCACTTGTTTCAATTGTGTCCTATTAGTTTTGATATTAGAGTAAATTGGCCTATTATCAAACTTTAGGTAAGAACATTGTTCTATTGTTGGTTCATACAATATTTTAATTTTTAAATGATTTATGAATATGTAAAGTATAAATATTTTAAAATGCATATAATTTATTTAGAAATTAAAATATTATAAGAAACCAAAAAGAGAACACAGATAATGTTCTTACCTAAAGTTTGATAATAGGTCAATTTAATTTAATAACAAAACTAACAGCACACTACTGAAACAAGTGAACAAAAACTTGACATGTAGCATGTGTGAAAGACGGAAGCAAGACATGTAGATGCGATGTCCTATCTTAATGACTTAATGTAATATAATACCACCACCTCTATTAAATATAAATAAAACACATAGGTGGGCCTCGCCCATCTAATGTATTTATAAATTAATAAATAAGTTATAATAATGCTCAATTAACTATTTAATTTGAATAGTCGCAGTATTAATTATGATGAATATATGCTAACTATTTTTTTTTTGTTCACTTAGATTCAAATTAACTCTAATCAACTCCAAATGCTGCGTATGCAAATTCAAAATCAATCACAACAAGTACAGGTAGTTCAGTCGCAGCCTCAAATCATACAAGTAAAAAATACTTAAAATATTTGTATTTTTGTAATTTATTCTCAAATTAATGTTAAAATATTTTTTAAGGTTTCCTCACAAGCTAATGGGCCAACACCAGTATACATATCTCAACCAACTATTAACCCATCTTCAAGTCCTGAATAAATTATTTTAAATAAAACAAAAGTGATATATTTATGTAAAATTGTTAGTAAATTGTATGATCATTCAAAATTAAAATACATTATTTATTTAAATCTTTGTCTTTATCTATAAAATAATTTTAATTTAGATTACTAATAATTAATGTATCAATTTTCACCAATATTTTATTCAAATTTCAATGTAAACATTTTTATCATGAATACCTCTACCATTTATGTCTGTTAAACCTATATTAAGTCCTTAATCTTTATCAACATTTTGGTGAAAAATCATTGTTATGTCTTAACACCAATGTATCCACAAGTTGTAAATAATTTATCATTAGTGTATAATTTTTATATTTTTAATCTTTTATCTTATTTTGTATTAACCATTGCATCATTTGATTTGTTCTTTGAAGTTTGAAAATATATTGTTTATGGGAATATTTTATAAATCCTTACTTTGATCTGATGATTGTATCAGTAGTATGACTGTAAAAAAATGATATTTATTTTTTAAACATTTTTATTTTTAATTTATTCAGATAACTTGTACATAATTTTCCATGATATAAACATTAAACAATTAAACAATTTTTTTTTTATAGTTCTGTAAAATATAAATTGTAAAGTAAATAACAAACATATAAAGAGACAGAATAGTTAAACTATAGACAGCATTCATTACTAAAGTATACAAACACATATTTATAACTCCAGTTGTAACATTGGCAAATAAAAAGAATAATAATAAATTATCATTTATACTATCTATAATCAGTGAAACTCTATTGAATTCACCCAATTGTCCCATCTTATGTAAAAGAATGGTTATGAAGTTTTCAATTATAAGTGACATGAATAATAGATATGAAGATATAGATAATATCCAGTAAACATAACCGGCATTAGCTAATCTTCTAGAAACACCAAAAACAAAACTAATGACAAATGTCAATAAAAATAATGCAATGGATAAAGAAGCTGTTACTATTAGGAGGAACATACTGTTTATCAAATGATTTTTGTTCATAAAAATAGAAAACCGCGATTTCATCGACAAGGAATATAAAAATATTGCTTCATAGCCTATTAATGAGAAAATGCCTTCACGGTTTGCTGAGAACATTGTGTCTCTAGGAGCATCACTCATAATCCAATCTGCAAGACCAAAATTTAAAGCAAACTCATAAATAAATACCAGAATTGTTGCAATGCCAGATAGACAACAAGTACTAACAAATGGTAACATAAAAAGATTAATTATTTTTAAGAATGCTAAGGTCATGAAAAAATTCCAATGTACACCATACTCAAATACATAGTGATGATATTCTGCTTTTGTTACAAAATATGTACGGCCAATTCCCAACACAAGTAATGGTAAGACTTGTTTGAAAACTTTGAGTACAATTTTACTCATATTTTGTGTGTTAGGAATACTAAACAATAATGCATTAGAACAAACATAACACCCTACACCTATATCCATTATACTGTGACCATACGTTTCAGTTTTAGCAAACCTCCGTGGAAACACATTGAAATCTACTGCTAATATACAAAATACCGTATATGTATTAAGCATAAATCTATAGACAGTCATGTAAGGATTTTTTTTTGTTTTAATAGTACTCGATGATATATAATTGTTGTTTAATAACATCCAGATAAATGCAATACTAAAGATTGAAATGTAAACTAAGAATTGTCCAACTGAATAATCTGAAAACAACGTCAAATTAAACACTGTTGGTAGAACCATTGTAATAAATTCAAAAAGAAACATCCAAACTGTCGGGGAGTTGATTTTTTTGCTGTGGTTTGTACCAGTTGACATCCAAATAAATATGATTATGTGAATTGGCAATGGAAACAGAGATGTGTAAGTTTCAAGTAATGATGAACCTGTTTGGTTGGATATGGCTTCTCTATGCAGTTCTTTATACTTGGTATCCATTGTGTGAATGTGGACATGCATACGTATCACTATTAAGAAATAAACTAAGTTAACAATAGAAAACATACAACCGGCAACCACCACCATGACATACTCAAATGAACTCAATTTACCCAAATGTTGTATTTTTATTCAGTGATCTTATTGAGAGACTGAAGCATGTCAAACGACTAAATTCAAAATATTCTCGTAACCTACATTAGTAAACACCAACAAGATATGTGTAATATGTATTAACAATTTGTACTAATCAATGAGAAACTGGTTAGTTAATCATACTCAATATGGTAATATAGTATAAATCTAAAATACCATATTGGTATAAAAAAATATAGAAAAACGAAAAAAGCAATGAATACTATACTGATGATTTATGATTTAGTGATTATTCACCAACTGACTAGTATTGAGTATTGACTACTGACTAATTAATTGAGTACTAGGCACTGGCCACTGGTTAATATATAAGTAATGAACAAAGATTAAAGAATAGTAAAATGAGTGACTTCAAGTTACAACTTTACAAGACAAGTGCTTAGCTTATGGTCGCGGTCTCGCGTCTTATCTTTATTCTATGGTCTCGCGGATATCGGGATATGGATATACAATTATATTTCATTTTAGAAAACATTTTTTTCCAAAAATTTGAAATAATGTGATAACGCTATCATTTGATAACAAGCCATTATGGCGCGAAAATTAAAAGCATGATTTTGTCCCAAGCATAGACATATAAATAATAAATATGTCTATGGTCCCAAGTTATATTAAACCTTAGTGGCATTTGACTAAAATAATATTAATTTTTCAATTTCAACTATAAATGTAAGGGTCAATAAGTAAACCGYGACAGTTACAAATGCCCTATAGTTTTCTGTTTTCAAAAGCTTCAGAATAAATAARCAAAAATTCAAGAAAAACTGACATTTTTACGCAAAACCCGTTTTCAAAAAAAAACTATTTTGTTTTTAAATTATTTTTATTAATATATAAATATATATAATTATATTAAATAAATTTATTAATATAAAAATTAATTAATTTAAAAAAAAAAAATGTAAAATATGACATTTTTAATAAATGTTTTTTGCAGAGAAACATGTTCGAAATTTTGCCACTCTTATTGAGTTATTTATAGCCTTAAAGTCATAAGATACATATTTTCTAGCTTTACAAGTTTTTTTTTTAATTGTCAAAAAAAAGTGTTTACTCAGTCAAAAAGCTTGAAAATGTATCACAACGTTCATCATTAGTTACCTATTCTTATTAGTTATTGTTAATGGAAATTCATAATCYTTTTGTGTGAGTATCGGAAATTAAAATTTTAACAAAATTCCTCAAAACCACAAAAATTAGTAAATTATTTCGAGATATAAATTTATAAAAAAGTTTCCATTTATATTTAAGCTTTGAAAATTCAATATATGTTGACACGCCCCTTATTTGTCTTGCATTTAACAAAACAAATAAAGTTTACCGGAAAGTCAAATTAATTTTTTTAACGATCGATTGAAATTAGAACATCGAATATTCATCCATAAATTAAAAAAATTTTCAAGTAGGTAACAATTTTCTCATTCAGTTTTGTTTTCAAAAAATTAAATCCCAAGTACTTGAATTTTTCATCAGATGTTTATTATATCGTTTTCTTTACGTTATCAATTTTGATCGGTTTTTAGTTGTTCATATAGACCTCTCAAATTTTCAATTTTTTTAGTTTTTTTTTTTCTATAAATAATACCAATACAAATWATTTCATGACGTTGAAATGTTTAAAAAATGAATACAAGGTTCATAATAATTAATAAGTAGTAAGTTGTAATAGTTAAGATAAATATGAAATCTAAAAAATGTTGGTACTACTATTTWAATAAAATAAAGTATTCAAGTCCAAGTTMAAGTATAATAATAGAATAAATAGTATAAAATCAGAAGCTGAATCAAATGACAAAAAAAGCGAGGCAAAATGTCGAAATAGATAATAATATAAGATCTTTAATCATAGGCGTTTTGCTTATTTCGACATCGGGGCGCTAATGCTCTATTTTTGACAGCTGTTTTATAGTGTCATTTTTAAAGTCACTGCGGGACGCTATTAAACATTGGTCGTTGTGCAACCTGTATTTCTTAGATCGTGTATTAGATACGAGGATTAAACTGTAGGTAACTTTTTTAACACGTGTAAAAAATAAACAAGTTTCAAAGCCCGCAATTATTTATTGAGTATACATGGTTTTTAATTTTTAATTTAAACGACAGAASTACAGGATCGTCATTTACTACACTTTTAGTGATAAATATTATCCATTGGATAGTAAAGGACGGAGCCACGGAGGGTACTGACTACTGCAATAAGTAACGTACTCACGAGTTTCAAGCTGCTCGATAATAAGCAATAAGCTTACTAAAAAGTAAAATTACATAATATACCGATAATACCTACTGACATCGTTGAACAACATATTTAGTTATATTTATATAATTTATTATGAGTTATTTTTATCGTMAATACATTTATTATACAACGGGCTATACCATACCTAATGTTACTAATAGATCACACGTCACCGCGATTCCAATAACGGTTGAATAATCGCTAATTTCCGGGAACCGGTCCCCAACGGTCGACGCACACACATTAAATTAAATGCTAATGACGTCATGGTAACATGCTCGGTGTCGCAGTCGCACAAATTAACAGAATGACCCCCAGCCATCAGACATATACATGTCAAAAAAAATGGTTAGACATTATGAGCTATATTATTGCTTTCCGCAAAAAGGGGATCGAAATTTATCCTCGAAAACGTCAAGCAATAAAGCAGTATATTTAGTATATAATATTATTAATAGTTATAAATTGTTCTCACGAACAAAGTGTATTGCCCGGCGAATTGTATAGGCAAAATAGGTACATTACTGAAATGTTCAATTATRATGTCCATAACTGGCATAACTACAATTTAACWTATTTTCCATTCGCAACAATAAGTGGTAGCGCAAAAACCAAAACAAGTTATACCCTGCAGCAATAACTGCAGAAATCCAAACATCTTAGGTACAATTGAATGCGCTAAATAACGACATACTATTGGTGAACGGAGTAAAKGCATGTGTGACAGCCGACAGGTATATGTTTATATCCGATATTGTATAACAGTTAAATACGAGTATATCTATACACAACGAGTAAGTATTAACTTAACTGCATTATAGTTCATTAAAGTAARATTATGTAGATGACATCGAGTTATCAGAATTAAAAAATGTATATAAAGATTAAATAATAAAAACAACAAAATGGAATGGGAACGTGCAGAGTGCCTGTAGTCAAACTTTTTTTTCAAGAAGCAAAAAAAAATTAACTAGAGTTACAATAACCAAAAAACATGGGAAGAGAAACACGAACGCCCAAAGGTAAATATATTTTAAGGAGCAAAAATAAAATAATAAGTAGAAAAAATTAGTAGGTGCATATTCTGAAGATTCTTGAGTATTTAACAAATTATTAATTATGGAGAGCCTCTAGAAGTCTAGAGTACTTCTCTGGTTCTCTGATAACTGGTTATTGTTTAAAAAACTTTAATACAAAACAATCAATTAGAAGTAGGTAAATGAATTAAATCAAAAATTAAAAATAAATTATGCTAGAACCTAGAGATATAGCAGTCTATAATATCCAGATTTTTTATTTCTTTAATCAGATTCTTTATATTGAAGATGAACCTCCAACACTTTAGCACTATAGTTGCGCCACTGCAGTTGCACATCACTATTTTTCTATATTATACGCTGGAACCTTCACTGGATTTTCAGATGCAGAATGAATGCCCAAACATTTATACTTATTTTTTTTACTTTTATGAAATACCTAACAAGTTGTGATATTTAACATTATTAACTTATATATACTTATACGATACATACATACACACTGTTATCATGAATGATATGCGTGTTTATATGTATTTAAAACTTCAGTTAAACTAAACCGAATATTTCTTTTTTTTTTGTGAGATATTTAAGTAAAAAGGATATAAATTACATAATAATTAAAGTGTCATAAAATAGCCAATATAGAGAAACACTTAGCTAATAGCTAATATTTTCAACTTATTCTGTGAATCAATTCTATAATATTAAAAGTAACAACACAGCAGGGTTGGTTCACTAGATTTTTCACTGAATTAAAACAATTTTTCATTTGAATGYAAGTTTTCGGTTAAGATTTTCGCTTTTAAAATACAATTTACTAATTAAAAAGTATTAATCTCCTAGAAAATTATTGTAATTGGTTTTTGGGTGTATTTGTTATAAATAAAGAGTCTTATATACTTATGAATTTACAATAAAGAATATCTATCTATATTTAAATATTTGCTTTAATGATCTCAACATTTTCAATATGAATAGTAAAAAGCGGGTAAGTTGTGGATGTCGCTAAGCTGTACAGTAGGTTACAAGTGGGTATTACTGTAATACAATGGTTCCCAACCACTCCTATTGGCTATTCTACGCCACCCTTTGTAGATTTTCGAAAATCTCGCATACCCCTCCTATAAATTGTAAAAAATCGATCACCTTTTTTGGTGTACTTTACATATAAACTTTCTATATTATTCTATACAAATATACAATATTTGGAATAAGACAAGAATTATTATTAAACACATAACGTGACATTAAACGATTAAGTTACACGCTGCGGCCAAACATTTTATAGTCTTTATCGGTCATCCATTATTATGATACTCGATTAACAGATAAAGRTTTCCGGTCAAAGATATTAAAAATGTATATTTTAGTGTAAAAATTGATAAATATTGTTTTGATACAAAAATTATTAAAATTATTATAYAAATAAATAAAACTATTTATTGAAAAATACTACTTTTAGTAAAATTTATTTTTTTGTCGAATTTCTTGTTTTCGCGACAGCAAAAAAAAATATAATGAACGTTGGTAATCGACAAACTATGAAATYTGCATGACGTGTAACTTTCAATAAAAAAAATTCAAAAGTATAAAATTGTAACATTAAATTCTATAGTTCATGAATCAAATTTCTGGATAGACGAGCATCAAGCATTGAATGTGATAATGTGAACATAAGAAAAAAAGATGCAAATGCATCAAGTTCCGGTCCCTAGTAGTAACTAATAAGCAGACACAACGAGGATATAACGTGTTTTAAACTTAGTATGTTTAAATTTTACTCTTAGAACAGTTAGAACTACATCACTATTATATCTATAGGGAGAAAGGTTCAATGTTCACCCCTATGAAACTTAAAAGTTCGTTATATTTATTTTATATTTATAAATTATTTCATGTTTATTAATAATTATCATTTAGCATCATCAAAACATAAGTTTAAAAATGTACTAAATATAAAATATTTATTATTATAACAGTTTTCATTAATATCATTTTATGACTCGCATACTCCATTTACCTCCCACTCCACAAATAATATTGTAGCGTCACGCTAGATAAGGCCATGTTATGCTGCGTGGACTTCCGAAGAGCATAATGGTGGTCGGCGCCCGGCGGATGCGATAAATTTGGATTTCAAACCATATTTTTTCACTCAGGTTGGCTATGTCCTTCTCTAATAATTATGCTCATAGTTCATGTACCGATTTTATTATAAATAATATAAATATTTAATGATATTATATTACCTACTATGAATTATGATTAATGAGCAACCATTAAGACTTATAACAGTAATAACTGAAATACTGTCTCTCCATCACTGGCATTGTGACGAGTTCCTTAATGAATAGAATATAGACATATTGTTCTACTATAGAATATTAGAATCTATTCCATTCGACTGTACCTACTATACAGTTAAACATATTAAAATTTACGCAGTGTCAAACGAAGGGGGTTGAGGTGGTGGCATACCTACGTGGCTACGTAGAAGGTATGGCTAACGGGTTGAAGCTAATCTTTATTYTATGGGTTGAAGTCCCCTTCATCACACTTGTTATATTATTATAAATTTTAAATTCTGAGCGGAGCGAGGAATGTATTGATTTTACAATGATGTGTGTGTGTTTTTTTTTTCGTGTCTGTGGCATAGGCGCAACTAGACCTACAATTTAAGGGGTGCTAAAATTTAGTATACTTTGGTAACCCGTGGGGGCTATGCCCCTCCAACACACAATTTCTTTGCCATTAACATCATGCTTTTAAAACTCAACTTCAATTTATATTAATTTATATGATAACACATTTGATATTTTGATATTGAATTATATGTATTAATGAACAATCACTAAAAACATTATAATTAATAATTAATTACAATAACTAATAACAACTATTTAGATAACATATTAAAATCTATTATTTTAAAACAATACGAAACACTGTTTCCGTTTRTATTTTATTTGATAAATCCTTCTCAATATTTAAAATTGACAAGTCATTGGCACTGCTGCAACATACTTGTTCTTAGCCAATTTTTGATACGTCTCATACTAGAAAAACTACGTTCACAAGTTGCAGAACTTATTGGAATTGTAATTGCAATTTGAAGTAGCTTATATAAGTTAGGAAAAGCTTATTTATATATTTTTCCTTGAATGTCATCAAAATTGAAATTTGGTGGCAAACAGTTTTTGAAAACCATCATTTTAGCATTTAATAAATCGATTGAAACTTTTGCCACATTCTGAAATTGAACAGTAAAAACAATAACAATATTTAAGCTAACTTAAACTACTTTACTGAAAAAACTTTGATTTCAATAACACTTTTTTTAACAAGTGTGGGAAAATTTTTGAAATTAAATAAAATTAATAAAAACACCAAATCAATGTGCCCGAGTTCAACATTATCAAAAGGACGYGAGGGACAATAAGTAGGGATTAACTATGAAACATTATTTATTTTTTTTTTTTAAAGTGTTTCTGACATACAAGGTCATCGAACTTATTGATATAATAAAAAAATTTTAACATCATGAAGTTGTAAATTAATTATATATAGTAAATTAATTACAATATATTATACAGTAAATTACAGTAAATTACAAAGATGAATAAATAAATAATAAAATATGACATAATAACTAGTTAATCTAATTGTATTTTTTTTTTTGTGTATCTTATTGGTGTTGAGAAGGGGCATCATGAGGACGTTCGCGCTTGAGACGCCGGATGGAACTATGAAACATAGTAACTCTTCAATTGTTGTGTAATGGAAAATCATAATATAATGATCGACATTCAACAACAYGATCAGTCTGACATCTTGTTATGACTTATGAGTTATGAGTAGTTAAACATTTGAAATAACAAAAACAATATGTATAGGTATGTGATTATTATTATTATTATTGTTGTTGTTACAACTCTGGTAAATAACTATAACATGACGAATACCGAAAGCCAACTTGTCGATTACCACTTGCCACACGAAAAAATAAATGTAATTATTGTATAACATAGTAATTTAATTATAAAATAAATCTATTTTGTCAATTTTCATGGATTTCCGAAAGCCGATGCATCAACATCAGCTGTGTATACTACTACAACCTGTAGTCCATAGTCTATACTGTAATAACTAATAACGAATAATATTAATAAATAATAATTCATAACAAATAATAGAACATAATAAATTTAAATTCATTTTGTGATATTATTATACGTCTTACATACAGAGCGCGCGCGTGTCAGGCGATAGTCATATTATTTGTACACCATTATCTTCGGTCGGTGTCCTAGTTGTTGTATGTCAGAGTTGTCGTTGCTTGTCCGCGGGCCGCGGTGACGACAACGGCGATGCTCGACGTGCCTATACGTTCATCGCAGCGTTCGTTTTTGTTCGTTATCGCTCGAATACGTCCCCCTCCACGCCGGTCCCACCGTCGTACTCCCACTTGCGCGCACTGAACATCCGCCGCCGTAGTAGTCTTTCGCTCTTGTAACACACAAACATACAATAATACAATATCACAGATTCACAATATTCATTATTCGATTCACAATTTATTGTGAATAGTGATAGAATAAAACGAGAAAAAAAAACTAAAATAAAAAAAAAATAACGCGTTTCGTTTTTTCAACTTATCACCCGACGTCGGGCACTCTGTTGTTATTTGAACTCGTCGCCGTGTTTTTGTCCCTCCCGTTACCGACTTTTTAGTTATTAGATTAATCATTAATCATTTCTCCGCTGCCTTCGATCATAGTCCGCCGCCGACTACGACAATATTAATGTGCTATAATTGCCGGACGACGACGTTTGCGCCCCAAACCCGTTAATTCCGTTATCGCTCACTGGCACTTTATCGTATATCGCGCGGTATCCGATATAATATCGCGTCGTCCACTGGCGTTTGATATCAATAACACTGGTGTCCGTCTGAATGGTATTTGAATCTCTCACGTATGCGACGGTGACGTGAAATTTAAAACCAAATACCGACGCCGTCTTTGTCGTCCCACTGCTGTGACGCTGAGCGAGATGACCGAAAACCGTAACACGACAGTAATTGAGCCCGCACATCAAGATTTGGCCTGAACATTCGCTGCCCGCTGTCATCGGTCCGTTGTAAATGTTCACTGGTACGTAAAACTTTGTCTGTAAAACGTGCACATCACAACACCACGACTGTCCGCTACTGTGGATATTAATATACCTAATGGGTAAGTTTTGTAACTTAGTGGCCTTTTGACCACTAGTTGCTGAGCATTTAATGTGTGAAATTGCTCCTTTGAGGAGTAGACGTTTCCGTTTTTTTTCAACAACCTTTTTGGATTTGGTCCTTGGATGCATGTCATAAAAACTTTTATATTTTTTCTGCTAGATAATAATATAGGTATAGGTACTTACTTATGGACTATGGTGCTATACATTTTGGCATAGTTTGTATGTCCTAAATTATATTAGGAATTGTTCAAGGCTCTCTACATTTTTGATGCTGGTACATACTACAAATTGTCAAATTAGTTTCATAATCAATWACGATTTATTATTTACCCATCTGTTATTCACTAAAAAATTAAGATTCCAATGGAAAACAAATTTTTATATACCTTTTAAATATCCATTCAAATATATTTTACATTAAATGGGCACCTATTATTAATGAAACATATTTTTATATTTATCAACAAATACCGTATTAATAATGTATTTGCTTACTTTTTATACAATTAAATAGAATTTGTCAAGTTATTTCTACTTAAAAATAAAATTATGAGCCACTAAAATAGGAATAATAGTATAATACTTTTGAATTATTTCTATTCCTAACAATTTTTATTGTTTTCGCATCTTAATAAAAATATTGAACATAAACTCAATTAGGATGGGTTTTATTGGTATTTAGCATCAGTAAAATTTACTGCTAACAATGTACAGAATTTAAACAAATAAAGATAAAAAAATTAGTTGATTATGTATACCTATTTTTGTTTTGTTTTATTACTCAAACTTAACAATGTATCTATGCAAATAAAAGTTATAACTAATTACAGACTTGTTAAGAATTACTAATATATTTTATTCTTTTATTTTAATGATAATATATTTTTATATTTTAAGTTAATACCTACAAGCAGGGCCGACGCAAGAAGTATTGGCGCCCTTAACACCCCCCCCACGACTAATTTGAGTAGTAGTAAAATTAAGTTTTTTAGGAAGTTAAATAAAATTAGCATGTATTTTATATCATAACAATATTGTAATACCTATGTTAGACATATTATTTTATTAACTTATAAAATTGTACGACGAAAATAATATTATATTTATAGATACTGCAAAAAACGTGTTAAGAATAATACCTACTAATTTTCATAATAATAAAATGCGAATGTGTGATTCACCGTGTTATATCGACCGTTTTGCCATATATTAGTTATTATATATTATCATCATATATTCATATCAATTATCAAAATTCAAAGTTTATTCATTAACATAAAATATCAAATCAAATTATATTATATTATTTCTCGCCACCAGCCCACACCACTGTCTATAATATAGGAATATTGTGTTTCTGGTTTCACCAACTACTTATTAATTAAWACAGAATTTATTGTAAAAAGGAAACCAAAATACTATGTATAAATTTACTTAATAAAATATATGATTATATGAATATTGATTACCTGTTGGCAGTTATTTGTTAGTTTATAGTTTATATATTTGAGTATTTGCCATTACACAGCAGACCGTACGGAGCGAGAGCTCGTCGAAAACAATAAATGTGTGTGTCAGACAATTGTGTCTTTTTGATTTATGCTATTCTGCGGTATTTTCGCCGTAAGGTCCGAATGAGTTTTACTGCCACGGTTTTTCTAACGAATCTAGCCTKAATCGTCTAGTTATATGATTTTATTTATAAATGGGTAAATATTATAATATGAAAATAATTATTACGACCATCTATATATTTTATTGACACACACAAATGTGGTGGTATGCTTCCATAGTTCCATGCATTATTTTTACATCAAAACCAGCGGTATCGATGCACTGTTATATTATTCTTATATTCTACAAATATGACTAATATGAGACAATTGAAGATGCATTTTCAATTAAAATGATATTAGATAATGAATATTTCAAATTGTATAGTTTGTTAATGCGTTTTAAAAGATAAATTAAATAAAAAATAATTTTCAGTTGGCGCCTCTCCGTGCTGGCGCCCTGGGCAGTCGCCCAGGTCGTCCATAGCTTTCGCCGACCCTGCCTACAAGGTCTAGACATACCTAACTCCCCCATGATATAGAATATTAAGCTTACTTAAGATCTTAATTCTAAATGTTCCCATCTATTATACTAATTTAGTTTAAGCAGGTATGGATTTACTATATTTTCTAAACTTATTTAGTCCTACTTAGTTATAAATAGCGCTTAGCCATCATATCAGAAACAAAAACAATGGTTCTTGCTTGCACAGAAGCCCATGAACTAAGGCTAGTAAACTAACATTTCAAAAAAAGAAGAAGAGACAAATGTTATATCGGCTTTTATACTATTTCCATTCATAAATCCATAAGTTAAATATTATTGGAGTAGTTGTTAATATGATGGAAAAACTGTGTAAAAATTACATTATCCCTTGTCTTGTAGTCTTGATTAATATATTTCTTGACCATAGTAATGTTTTAACAAAATTAATATTACCAAGCACATAGGAAATCTATGTGAAATGTTTATCTACAATGGACTAGTTGAGTCCGGTAAAGCATTTACAATTTAAAAAAAATTTTACATTAATATGTCAACTGTTACAACTTACAATTATATTAAAGTATATGGCATATTTTTTGATTTAAACCTTAATTTATCCAATGACTTTAGTGCCCCAACTTTGTGGCCATACGCCCATGCCTGATATTCATATAAATTACCTATTAAAATCTATTTACGCTTTTATTCATTGGTTTGATTATAAATTATTAAATTTATAATTGATAATATATTATTTTTGTTTTAATTTTTAGATAATCCATCACTATGGGAAAGCTGCTTTCCAAAATTTTTGGTAACAAAGAGATGAGAATACTTATGCTTGGTTTAGATGCAGCAGGAAAAACCAGTATCCTTTTTAAAAAAGAACAAGATTCATAGCTTATAAATAAATTATCTATGTTAAACTATTAATTAAAAATCTAAATCATATATTAGCTTATTATAAAATATATTCAACAATTTTAATTCCTTTTCGATAATAGAAAGTTGCCAAAATGGAATAACATTAAAAACACGATCTTTTATTTTTATTTTTAAATTACATGCCTTAAAAAATTCTTTACTAATCTAGGCTATTCACTGTAATGTTATGTTAGAATTTACTTTGTCAATTTAACTGAACATATTATTTTGTTACATTTATCTGTTTTARATGTTAAAACACGTCCGTAAGACCTACTATACTACTTCATTTATTATTCATATTGAATAATGTGCTAGACTATTTTATTTTGTTATGATTTGAATGTAACTGAATATGTATATGAATAAATATAATATAATAGCAATTATAATGCATGARCAAATGAGAATAATTGCCAGAATTCTAATTTAATTGAAATTTAAATAACCCATTATTATTAACATACTTATCAATTGTTAATTAGTTAAGAGTGATTCAACAATTAAAAAATGAAAGCCGGTTATGGGTTCCATAATATATTTTGGTCTAAAATATTGTTACACCATTGTGTACAGAACTTGTGTTGTTTGAAGAACTCATGGTTTAATTGTTACTTTGCTTATTGCTCTATTTTTATATATAACTGATTTGTATATTCTGTAGTACCTTGGTTTAAAACGTTTGTTACATTTTATTTATTTATGTTAAATAACTTTAAAATAAAATTTTTCCTATTATAATATATTAGCTATCTTGTACAAATTGAAATTGGGTCAATCTGTAACAACAATACCAACAGTTGGCTTCAACGTAGAAACAGTTATTTACAAAAATGTGAAAATTAATGTTTGGGTATGTTATTATGTTATTAACTATATATATATATATATATTATATAACTAATATAAATATTATAATATATATATATATATTTATTTATTTAATAGTAAATTTAATTTTTCATAGGATGTTGGGGGTCAAGACAAAATACGACCACTTTGGCGACACTATTATACAGGCACACAAGGTTTGATCTTTGTTGTGGATTGTGCAGATCGTGATCGTATAGATGAAGCTAAGCAAGAGTTACATCGTATAATAAATGATAGAGAGATGAGGGATGCAATAATTTTAATATTTGCCAACAAACAAGACTTGACCAATGGTATGTATTGTAAAATTTTATTAATTTAAAGTTCATCTTGATGTAATGTATTTTTTTTTAGCAATGAAACCACACGAAATACAAGAAAAACTTGGACTTACAAGAATAAGAGATAGAAATTGGTATGTTCAACCATCGTGTGCTACCACAGGAGATGGATTACATGAAGGCCTTGCTTGGCTCACATCAAATTTTAAACAATGATACCAAAGTATAACTCAATATTATACTAAATATATCATTTTTCAATTTAAAAGAAGCTTAGGACTAAAAGAAATTCCATACGTACAAATTGAGTACATTACTTGTTAAATATAAAAATGAACATCAATATTTAAACTAAGATGTTTTTTTGATAAATAACTACTCTTTGAGAGGACTGGCCTAATAAAATATTGAATTATTCACAATTGTTTTAATATTATAATTATAATTTGTAATGATTACTGAACAAAATTGTCATAATATGCTAAAACTGCCTAACTATCCTTTTGATGTGTATATTTATAAATTGATTCCCAATTAGTGTCAGCAGTATACATATTAGCTTCAACAATAAAATGTAAGCAATATTATATTTATACATATAAATTAATTAATAATGATTTAATATTTGTTCCCAAGTTTAGAATATTTTATCTAGGCCTGTAAATTAGTATATGTTATATGTACTAAGTATCATAATATTTTATACATAAATACATTTCATAATAATTAGGATTTTATTTWAAAAAAAATTAATAATATTGTTTCATGTGTGGATGAATCCTATTTTTTATTTTTATTGTTATTTATTATTTTGTACAAAATATTGAATAAATATATATTAAAAAATTATTATATTTCTAATTGAAGTAAAAATGTATAGTTCTATATCTTTAGTTCCTGAACTTAATGAAAAATGTATACTGTAAAACCAACAATGAGTTTTGTCTAGTAAAATATAGTTGACAATGTAATGCAACTACAAAGTACAAGGTCTTCTAATAGATTGTCCTTTATCAATTTTAAAGTTATGAAAATATATTGAAACAGCTTTTTAATAATTGTGAAGCTTAAAATATGTAAAATTATCAATTATGTTTTTTCCTCAAACTAATAAGTGTAATACCTTTATAAAAGCATAGTAAAAAGTAGAAAAATATAGGAATTAAAAGTTTGAAATCCCAAGAGTATTTTTTTAACACTGGCTGGGATATATATTATAATATGTCAAGTTGAATAAAAATTTTTTAAATCTCACGAAATGATTTTAGATTCTGAGCAAAGATTTAAATATGTTGGTTTTAATTTTGTTGTCTATAATCACCTGATTTTTCAAATAAAATAGATGTTATGTAGTTTGTCGTTTTGAGGGGTCACATTTTACTGAGGAAAAAACTAAATAAGTTAACCTCCCAAACCCCCGCCTTGGTACCTATTATATGCATGACATTCAAGAATAATTGTTTTCATGCAGTAGCGTACGCATGATTTTAGTTCGGTTATAGGGTTTTACAAGAATAAATAATAAGTTACCTAACAATTTAATTTATATCTATTAAAAATTACCAACAATTTATCGACTCTGTGTATTGAAATGGGGGTAATAAGATTTTTTTGTAAATTTAAAAAATTTCAGGGGGGTTAATACCATCTTTGGTTTATCACACGATAAATTATTTAAATCATTGTAATATTGTATAGTTCTAAAATTAACGTAACTGTTTAGTTATTTATTACCTATTGGATATTATCCCGTAGGTATATTTATAGGTATTTTATTCTCAGAGTATCTATCTTAACAACTAAAATAAGTACCCCTCGAAAAACCTGTTGATACTTATAGATAGTATCATGGGCGTAGGTAAGAGGGGGGGTTGGTGTTCAAACACCCCCCAAAATTAAATAAAACAATCTTGAGCTTTTTGTGAATTTGTTCGAGAATATTATTAACGCGCAYATTATGTAGGTACTAGGTATAATTTGTGGGAAACCACAATTTACATTGTATAGGAACACTAGTTGAATTGCAATTGTTGGTAATAACATAACAAAATAGGTATAGTGTATATTAAATACCTTAAATCGGTTTTATCGGCGGACCGCGATTATCAGCTAGCGGCTGTCTCCAATTATTGTTTCCGTTAGTCTTTATATTGTTAAATTAGTCGTTATTGTGGTGTAGCCGTATATAGCGAAATGATTCTTAATTTTTTCATATTAATATAGATTTAGACAAAACCCCCTCCGAAAATATTTCCTACCTACGCCCATGGATAGTATATAAATTGTTTATTGTTATAGGTAAGTAATAAAAATAAAAGTTCCGTATTTTTTACGTGATAATTTTTTTAATTTGAAAAATAGTATTTTAAATGCGTCTTGGGTCGCAAGTACTCGCAACAAACTTGAGCTGATTTCTGGTTTAAAATAAACTAGAACACTAWAAGTCTAGAATAGATATGAAATCAAGATTAAAATCATATAAAAAAAATGAACAAATGGTACATCCCTTTACAGTAATCAGTGATAATACCTACTGAAACTGATTGTTAATTTATTGCTTCCTTAGACGTTTCATTATCCGTTGTATAATATATACCGCTATAAGTGGGAGGAGAAAAGCAGCAAATATATCTAATAATTTCGATTGATACAAATTTAAGTGAACCATTTGACWTTTTAACAGTTCTTTCGATTCATTTTTATTTCTTATTACATATTCGGTCCAGTAAACTGCYGTATCGAGTGGTGAATGTGGTCGATCATTATACAACTGTTGCAGTTTTTTCATGTTAATTCTGAAATTAAACATCACATTTAGAAATAAAATCAAGTAAGGACTAATGATAATTCGATATGCATACGTATATTTCTCGGTCAACACTTCATTAATAGCATTTAAAAGACCGTCACTTTCCAAATGTTTGTATTCTATAGTGACAGCCACTTGTTTGTCAATCAACAATTTGGTATTAAAAACTTGATCACCAAATATCGGTATACTTACCATTGGTTTGCCACAGTGTATTGTTTCAATTACGCTCATTATACCAGCATGTGATATAAATAGAAGTACCTTTGGATGCGCTACAAAACGTTTTAAAATTATTTTGGATGTTTAACAAATATATTGACTAGGTTAGTCGTCGTTGTTTATCAACCTAAAAGATCTCGCTGTGGTAACCATTTGACCATTTTTACATTYACTGGTAGCTGTATAGTTTTGTTTTTTTCAGCATCAAACTTCATGATGACTCTTTGTTTAAGTTTCGAAAATGCATCGAGTATGTGGCGCAGTTTATCGGCGCCCAGCGATGCTTCCGACACGACAGAGCCCAAACTGAATAGGACCACACCATGATCGGCATCATTTATGAAATCGTTCAAGTCCTRTGTATTTATCAACAGACAATAAACATTGACGTGTGTAATTAAATTTTTTAAGTCATAATACCTAGTACGAGTATATGTATTGTAATTACTTGCGGGACAGGTTTTTCGTCGACTACATGAATACCACCAACCTCAACGATTCCGGGCGGTTTGGGAAACGGTAAAAACATACTATGATAATCGTTTGTCATGATCAAGCTTAAATTAGCCATCGATTTTATTGTCGATTCCGTTTGTATCCCGTAATGATTTTTAATAATTTCCCGAATTATGGGGGTGTATATCCAATTAAACGAGACGCCGATGATTGCCAATTTCACGGTATTGCTGACTCGCTGGACAAATGACATGTGGTCCGTGAAATTACTGAAAACACTTGGCATATAAGACACGGTCGTCTCCATTCCCATCACTTCGTTCATCCACGGAAATTTGATCATTGGACAAAAGCCAACAATCGGCGCGTCCACGACTGTGGCGATCGGTGCAAATATTGGCGTAGATGTAAAAAATTCAGCTATCACCAAGTCAAATTTTCGACCGGACTTTAGGAGTTTTGCAACTGTCGGATGATTGAGAATAGTCGCGTATGAGTAAACGTTTCCGATTACGCGCGTAATCGATTTAATTATTCCATTGTTGTTGGCATTGAATTTCGAGTGCGGTTTCAACCTGGAAATGTTGATGTGCGATAAATTGGCTCTTTCCACAGCATCCGGGAAATTCGTGATTGCCAATATTTTGTGTCCGCGATCCAATAGCCTGTGAATCAATGGTTGGACGACACGGTAATGGCTCTGGGCGGTCGTCGGGAAAATTACCAGGATTTCCGATGACCTAGTCTGTGCGATTGTTAAAGCACAAAAAACGACGGCGGCATACGCAAACACAATAGACTTCATTTTGTTTTTCTTCGCTTCTACATTGGGAGTACAGATTTCATTAATCTTTAATCATGRTATATAAATTATTAAGTAAGCAAATTATCTGGATTTATATAGGKTTTATTTCTGTAATAATAACTAATAGGCTTCATATTATTTATATTAGGTAAATACACATTAATAGAACATTATTAGTAAATTGTTTAAAAACACGAATAAATTAGATTAATAAAACTAATATAGGATTATAGGAATATAATTAAAAAATATAGATTGTATTGTTGAAGTACGTAAGTTTATTAGTTTGTATAAATATAAGTGCAACTATAATAAATTATAATGTATAATTTAAAGGTTTGTTCTCAAACGATTTTACTGGATTCACTTATCACGTATATTGTACCTTGTATGAATAAGTACTTACTAATGAATGACATCAAAATACAGTAGTCTGAAAATAGATACAGTATTAAAGCGTACTTGTTGTATATTCAATGTAGTATACAAATATGTACTACCTACCTAGCCACCTAGGGCCATAATATATTAAATTGATATGAWAAAATATAGCCTGCAGTTGTCAGTTAGTATAATATTCAGAAGTTATAGGTAATCATAAGTTATACCTGTTTAAGAACCTTGAATTCAAGTTTCAAAGCATATTATTATCCATTATCAATTATGTATGAAGGATAATATGAATTCAATTGCAAGAATGCGTATTGCAAAAAATTATCACCTTCAAATATAAATACTGATATAGTATTTAAGACAAGTTTAAAAAGAACTATCTATATAATAACTATTCAGTTAAAAGTAACCGACTAAGCACTAATCAAATKTATTTGCATTTCATTGATGTAATAGCCTAAACTATAGGTCCTATAGGTTCCTATATATAGGAATATAGGTATGCTACTCGTATATCTTATATAGATAGTTGAAAAATAAGTTGTAGAATATAGATTAGGCTAATTTCAGACATATATCAAACACGCGGCCCTCAGCTCAATTTTTTGTGGTCTATGACTACCTATATCTGCAATAACTCTTCTTCTTCTTTTTCTTCGCATTCTCTCCCTATACTATTTGGGATCGGCCACCCTGGTTCTCAATTTTCACTTATTATGATCCTTAGCATCCTCCTCACAAACACCAGTTATTCTCATATCGTACTCTATATATAACTTTGAATCATCTCTTTTTCGGTCTTCCTCTTTTTCCATCCACACYCATGTTCTTTGTCACTGAAACTGCTTCAGTTTTTTCTCTTCTTAAAACATGTCCAAGCCATCTCAACTTCTTCTCACGCAATTTGTCAACTATTGGAGCCACTCCTATACCACCTCTTTTATACTTATTTTGTCCTYTCTCGTCACTCCACTCTTCCACCTTAACATTCTCATCTCCACAACACTAATTTTCCTCTCCATTATTTTATATAGGTATAGCCTAACATTTTGATCCATACATCATCCCCGGTCTTACTACAGTCTTATAAAATTTACCTTTGAACCTGATTGGAATTCTTCTATCGCATAAAACATTTGATGCTTCTTTCCACTGCATCCACCGACACTAAATCCTATGCATAATATCTTGGTCAAAACCACCATTCTTTTGTAATATGGATCCTAATTCCTAAATACTTGAAACTATCAACTTCTTCCACTACTTCACCAACCATATTCACTACACGCCTATTCTGGTTTACTATTTGGACTCTATCTCCAAGATGAAAATTAAACTCGATATACACATTTTTACTTCCACTAATTTTTAACCCTTTACTCTCCATCCCGCTTCCCTCCATTCTTCCAGTCTATATATAGTTCACCTCMTCCAGACTCTCTACAACCAACWCTACATCATCCGCAAACAACATGCACCATGGTACCTCACCTTGTATACTTTTTGTAATTTCGTCTATTACTACAGAAAAAAAGTAACGACTCAAACCTTGGTGCATTCCAACTCCAACCCTAAACTCCTCAGTTTCACCAACAAGGCTTAAAACCCTTGTGTTCGTTCCTATTCTTACATGTCTTCAATTATATTTACATACCACATACGCCTTTGACAACCCTTTATTAATGTCCATTTCAAAACCTCTCTAGGAATTCTGTCGTAGACCTTCTATAGATCAAAAAAATCATACATAACTTCCTTTTTTTCTCTTTATACTTTTCCATCACTTGTCTTACACAAAATATCGGCTCTATTGACTTGTCGGGCATAAAACCAAACTAATTTTTATTTTAAAAGATGTCTCGCCTATAATCTTTAAATCAATTATCTTTTCCCAAATCTCCATAGTGTGACACTTAAGTTTTCTTTATAGTATTCCTCTATAGTTTCTACATTCCATAAATCTTTCTTCAAGCGCCTGAAATTTTTCCTCCAACTAATAACCTGTTGAAGAACTTCGTCAACCAGTCTACTCCTAATCTCCCTAGCACTTTCCCTGTACCTATATATTAATGGACAAAAACACAAAATAATAATAAAAAAATTAAACTATTAATGCCGTTTCACAACTATCTTTGTACCTACCTAGACACCTATACACAGTAGTACTATAGTTTCAACTTGTTTTTCACCAAATTGAACATTGACTGTTAGCATGACTTGTATAGTTGTATTTACATTTTATCTTCACATAGAMGTATAGGTATACCATATTGTAAGGTAATAGGTAAAGGTATCTATGTTACCGGTAAAGGCGTAAATTAAGGAATTAATGTTAATGACTAGTCAATAACGATATTTCAGTGCAAATTAGGCAGTACACGATATTGAATAGAAAATATCGTTAATGTCTGTTATTATCAGTGAATGATGCATTTAGAAATATTTCCCAGGTAATGGCAATAACTCCAGGCTTTTCCAGGCATAATTGATAAAAATATAAAATAATTTATTTGTTGGTTGGATTARAAATGTTCATACATACTGTATAATATATATATATATATTACTTRAATATGGAATAATCGTATATAAATCGATGAGATTGAAACTACAGTACAAATAAGAACATTTTTTACTCTATAAAACTACTGTATCTATTATTGAATAAGTGACTTTTACTTTATTATTGTACTTATTAAAACTATGACAAAATA